ACAGAAAATATGAGTGCTCTGCAACGATAGCTGTCACTGAGCAGTAAAATAGTAGTTATGATAGAGTGGTCATAAATGAGAGTAGACACACCAATACATAGAAAGGCAATATCTTCAAAAGTTTTGGCATTGTGAATCTACATAGAATTATGTTGAGGTCAGAATAAGATTTACACAGTGAAGGTTTACCAATGACAAGTTGGTATCATTGAGGACATCCATCACCTAGAAATGGTAGCTGGTTCAGTCAATACTAGTTTTGAAAAAGAAAAAAAAAGATGGGAAGAATAAAATACTTACAGGCTATTTGAAGAGGTACAGCTTCATAAATATCTTGCTAAAAATTCTACAACTGAACTCACAATCTCATCATTTCTTAGCAACAATGAAAAGAGAAGAATCCTGAGCCCTACCCTCTATTTGAAACCCAGAGCATGGTCTTATCAGCAACAAGCAGAGGAGCCAACCAAATCCTGACTTACATCCTGTTTAAAACCCAGAGAATGCTCCAATCAGCAACAAGCAGGAAGGGCCAGCCAGATCCTGACTTACATCCTGTTTAAAACCCAGAGCATGCTCTTGTCAGCAACAAGGAGGAAGGGTCAGTGACATCCTGACTCACCCACTGTTCAAAACCCAGAGAATGCTCCTGTCAGCAACAAGCAGAGGAGCCAACCAAATCCTGACTTACATCCTGTTTAAAACCCAGAGAATGCTCCAATCAGCAACAAGCAGGAAGGGCCAGCCAGATCCTGACTTACATCCTGTTTAAAACCCAGAGCATGCTCTTGTCAGCAACAAGGAGGAAGGGTCAGTGACATCCTGACTCACCCACTGTTCAAAACCCAGAGAATGCTCCTGTCAGCAACAAGCAGGAGGAGCCAGCCAGATCCTAACTTACAACCTGTTCAAAACCCAGAGCATGCTCCTGTCTAGCAACAAGCAGGAAGGGTCAGCCAGATCCTGACTTACAAGCTGTTCAAAACCCAGAGCATGCTCCTGTCAGCAACAAGCAGGAGGAGCCAGCCAGATCCTGACTTACAAGCTGTTCAAAACCAAGAGAATGCTCCTGTCAGCAACAAGCAGGAAGGGCCAGCCAGATCCTGACTTACATCCTGTTCAAAACCCAGAGAATGCTCTTGTCAGCAACAAGGAGGAAGGGTCAGTGAGATCCTGACTCACCCACTGTTCAAAACCCAGAGCATGCTCCTGTCAGCAACAAGCAGGAGGAGCCAGCCAGATCCTGACTTACAAGCTGTTCAAAACCAAGAGAATGCTCCTGTCAGCAACAAGCAGGAAGGGCCAGCCAGATCCTGACTTACATCCTGTTCAAAACCCAGAGAATGCTCTTGTCAGCAACAAGGAGGAAGGGTCAGTGAGATCCTGACTCACCCACTGTTCAAAACCCAGAGCATGCTCCTGTCAGCAACAAGCAGGAGGAGCCAGCCAGATCCTGCATACAGGAAAAAAAAAAAGTATAGGTAGTTTGCCCCTTGTATACATTGTCCCCATTGTTCCTGACAATATACCCAGTAGGCTGGTATGAAGGTGGTAGACGTTGGTAGTTTACAAGTCATGTGCTAGTAGTCCTGATACACCATCAAGTGATGTCAGTTGCTCGAGTTGCTTGAGTTAACCTCACACTACCATTAGTAGCCTGGGTATTATTAGTTGTCCCGGTACATTCACATAGAAAATTGCATTAGACTCTTGAAATATTGATGTTGTATACGTCGCGTACAATATACATAAAGATCGAGCAAGTATCGGAGAAGATAGAAATCATGCTGATGAAACCGGTGCTGTTGCCTAATTCTGAATCAGAAATGTTTCTAAGTCCATTCGAGCTCCGATGCCACGTGATTCTATGTTGACTTCTCACGGAAAGTTCAACCACAATCGTTCGTTCTTTCTTTCCCTCCCACCACTGACACCACGTACATTTATCTTACACGATGACAGATTTGTCGTCGTCGTCCATCGGTGAGCACCCCTGTCCCAACCCAACTGACTTGACCCACCAAGAGATGACTACACGACAACTACAACGGCACAACGCAACGACGACAAAAGCCGGCGACGACACAACAGCGATGGACGACAATGACGGATGACGATGACAGACGACGACGATAGACGACGACAACTGCACTACGACGATAGGAGACGACAACCACACTACGAGGAAAGGTGACGAACACACGACAATAGCATGACGATGACTGCATGCAACGACGATTACACGCAGCAACACACGGTAACACCACTAGCGGCGACGACCCACCACCACTCCCAATCAACGCCAACGATGGCCAGCGCCACACCCCACCCATGCCAACAACGGCCCACCACCATGGCCCACCAGCACCCCCATGAACGGCGAGCACAGCTCATCACCAGCACCCACGACGGCCCACCACCCCACCAACGCTGACAATGGCCCACCACAACACCCACGAACGGTGACGACGACCCACCA